CGTATGTTTATTTTACTTTCAATCTTTGAAATTCATTCATTTTGTTGCAAAATAATTAATAAAGAGTGGCTTAATTTTCTCAAAAGTTGCTATTATTCGATAGCAGTACATTCATAAAGCGTTTCTTGTAATTTTACATAAGCTCCAGCTACCAAGGAGAATTTTTTAGCAATTTAGTTTTTTTAAATTGTTTTTTTTTTAACAGAATATTTGAAATAATATTAAATCATCGTAGTTTATTAATCTACGCTTTAACACCGACCCTTGCAAGAATTCTACGTTTCCATAAATAAAATCAGTTTTGATAACATTATTATAAACTACAAAGAATGGGATAATTTATTTTTTCATGTGCTGTGTCATTTGTTTGATATTTCTTTCTACTATGTACTGCTGAAATCTCATAAAGACACTTCCCTGAAAATGAAAGCGAAGAAAGAGTGCATGTGGATCAGATTTCCGAATTTATTAGTTGACGAGGTAAAATCTCCTTATTCTGGAGAACACTGAAAAAAGAGAGCTTACCAGCTTTCAACGTTTTCTTATCAACTTTATTGTTTCAAAAATACTATTGCATTTCTTCTTTATTCATGTAAAGCTTTTTTTCATGTGTCGCTGTTTACTATAAAGTGCCTACGTCACATTTTAGAAAACTTTGTTTTCTTTGTGACAATGCTATGTTTAAAATGTGTTGTCGGAAAAAATCTCCAGATATAGACAGAGTGATTTAAATTTTATTCCAGTTGATCTAACCGCATAGTTTTTCGTGATTTTCATTGTCATATAACGCGAAAGCGGGATAGTGAAGGCTGCGTTTTTTATTGAAGCCGAGTATTTGACTTCGTAGTTCGCTTGTTTTATCAGTAGTTAAATATGAATTTTTTTTAAACAAAAATTTTTTATAATTCAGTATGCCTTTGCACTCATCCAACACTGCGAAAAATGGATGTTGAATATTTACACATTAAATGGTGAATATTTTGACAAATTCGTTTCAATTTTCTCTATAACAAGCATTTTTTCCAAAGAATGCACGAAACTTGTCTCATTAAATTATTTTTTGTTGCAAAAGTAGAAAATGACTTATTTTAATTACGTTTTCATCATTAGGGAATTATTTATTGTACATTAAAAAATTTCTAATTAAAATCCAAGCAAAGTAAATTTATTACTTAAATTAGAATGGATCTTATATTAAATTAAAATATATCTTTTTTTACAAAATTTACAAACTTCTAAATTAAAATTATTATTTAAAAATTATCTTCAGATCTTCAAAAATAATTTTCTCAATATTTAATAAATAAAAAAAAATTTCGATGAAATATATGTGAATGCAAATTTTGTCTACACTGAAGACAGCAGCTTTCAGAAAAAAATACGTCGCATATTTACAAGCTTTGGATTCAAGCCAAACGCAATTTTTTTCCCTCTTGTTAGCAGCACAAAAGATGATTCATAAGAAGTAAACATTTATTCAAAAATATGACAGAAAAAGTATTTAAAAAAAAAAAAACAGTTTTGGCAGTGCCCAAACGGTAGCTAAAAAGCCATATCATCATCTACAATAGCCGACTTTGAAGTGTTCGAATGTTTTATCCAAACCTTCTTACTTTTTCACTAAGTGAACTCAAGTATAATTCACTCTCTATGAAACTTGTTAACGATTTCAATCGTATGTTATCTTTTACAGAAGAAACACTACCACTTTCATCTTAGTCACTTCTAAGGACAATTAAATAAACGAATCTGTTTTTTCAGTTCTCGTTCAGGGACCGGAACAGGGGAATAAGAACAATGACTCCTTTCAAAACCGAGGAGTCTTCTTAATGTAGCTGAGTCGTCAACTGTTTAAATTTATCATTTCTTGCACGAAAAGAGTTTTTTTTCGTTCTCTTTACTGACTCAGACCGCGGGGCTTCATTACTGCACCCCACCTGCCTGTATTAATCTTCCAGACTTTAAGAACTGTAACAACACACACGTTTAAACGAATTTAATGAGTTATAAGAGACCTTCCTTTATGTCCCCATAAACTCCGAATACTTGTGAATCTTCCCATCAACGTCTTAAAAGGGAAAGAAAGAAATGTTCCATCTTTTCATTAGAATGGGTTAACATCGAGCTCCCTTTTACCAACCCCCTATCTCCCCTATTTTCATTTCACTGCGAATCTTCGAATCCGAATTCTTGTCGGAAATGGTACTTGCAAAGAATTCATCTCTATTCAGGGATTAATCTGTGATCAGCGTTCTTTTCTTTACCTTGTCAAAAGACTTTTAATTTTGCGCTTATTCACGCATGAAATAATCTAATAGCTATCGTCTGCCCCTAAAAGGTAGATTCGAAGGAATCCGTTTCCGAATATTTTCCTCATTAGGGGGCATCGGAATGAAAGGAAATAAACGAAGTTAACGGGGAGCATGTCACCCCCGATGACAGCTTTAACAAGGCCAATAATGAACAAGGCCCAGAATCGAAAAAGAGTTAATTACTTTTGATTCCTCCCACCTTGCTGCACATAGGGTGGAATACAGCAATTAAAAAGACCTGGAATGTTCAATGCCTCGGATTTAATAAGTACTGTGCTAAGATTTCTGGATTTCCTTTTGACAATCGGAGATTTTTCCTAGTGGCTCAGGTGGAACCGTTTTGCCTGGGCCCGTCTGATTGAGTAGGTTGTTGCAGAGAACAACTTGCAGGGGAGAGGAGAGTTACGTTTGACAAGATGGATGTGTCACTGGGGCGTGTCCGTTACCTACCACCGGGGGCATCAAGTGTAAAAGAAGGAGACGCGAAAAAGTATTTCCTCCCCAGAATCATATTTCAAGTACCTCGCAATTAGTCTGGTGTCCCTTTCCCATTCCAGTTTTTATATACCCCAGCGACTTCACAACAGGGGTGCTTTTTCACTTTTAATTCAGTCGGAAAGGTGCTATTTTCAATGAAATTTCGCATCCTTTTTTCGAATATATGACCGTATAATTGGAAGGGTGTGTTGAATGCGGTACTTTCTTTTTATGTAAAGGTATTTTATTTTTACTAATATGGTCATTTACGTGGACAAAAAAGGAGAAAAATATAAGCAAATCAGTTTTGAAATGTGTCTATCTGAAAAATTTATGTAGTCATTTTCATTTTAAATCTCGTAACTTTTAAGAAGTATAAACGATTGCCAGACAGACATGTTAAACATATGTTAAGGATATAGTTTAAAATTGGCTGAAGTCATACGAAGTCTGACAATTGTAAAGACCTATAACAGGGTTTCCAAAATATATCTAAACCTCAATATTATATGTTGATTTTTAATAATTAATTGGAAGCAAAATTATTATAAAAACATTTAATTTTTGAGACTCACCGCTGTTTCTAAAAAGAATTTAATTAAATTCAAATTTACTGCTACTTTAATATCGTACTTTGTTGAGCCATATTATCGTGCGCGCAAATTAATCCTTTTTAGATTTGACTACACGATTCTACTTAAACAAAGATATCTTTTAAACTAAGCATTTTTTATTTAAAAAATGTTGTAAATTCACGTGAAAGTACGGTACCATGGTTAAACATCGATAAATTAAGTATTTATTCAATATCTTAAATTATTCAACGTTGTTTCAAAATATTCATTTTTCATACATTGTAACGCCATTTAAATTCCAAATACTCATCTATATTATATCTATATAATAGTGGCGAACACATATAAGAGTTCAAGTAATATTGTGTTTTATTTCTAAATATTCTATTTATTGTCAAACTCTCTGAAAATAAATTTATCTTTTCTTAACTATTTCTACAAATATTCCGTATTAAATGTTAATAATGAGATATGGAAATAAATGTTATTTAAAGTATTAACTTTAAAGTATTATTTTATTATTTTTATAATATGAATTTTATGCATTCTTTATTCAAATGTTAGTTATTCATATACGTTGAAATGCCATTCAAATTTCAAATAATCTCCTATATAATAAGAGAGAACACAACATATGTGAGTTCGAGTAATATTGTGTTTTGTTTCTAAATATTCTATATTTATTTTGTCAAACTCTCTGAAAACAGATTTATATTGTCCTAATTATTTTTAAAAATATTCCGCATTAAATGTTTAAAATGAAATAAGTAAATAATGTAAATGTTACGCATTTTTTATTCAATTATTAGTTATCCAAATGCGTTGAAAAACGTCATTTATATTTCAAAAAAATTAATTATATAATATCTATAAAATACAGCAGAATACAGTTAATAAAGATGTAAGTAATATTGTTCTTTATTCTACAATATTCTATATGTTGTCAAGCACTCTAAAATAAGTTTATATTGTCTAAACTCTTTTTACAAATATTACATAAACATGTAAAAATAATACATGTAAAAACGCTATTCGGTGTTAATCTTAGTTTTTTACTGTGAATGTTACCCATTCCTTATTTAATCATTACTTTCAGCCAAGTGGAATGTTCTTCTAAAAACGTAAAGAGTGGTGGCTAACCATTGTTGGTTACTTCTAGCTGTATTTCTTGTTTTGGATTTCGCTTCATTATTAAGCAAACGTTAATCTGCGGTTTGTAATGCCTTGGGTTTTTTCGACATGAGTACTCAAAGTTGAACCGAATTTTCTGTGAGTGTATTTTGTATAATTTAAGTGTACTCATTTAAATCAGAATCTATTATTTTAATAAACCAGAGAAGGCAGGGAAAAAGGTACTTTCCTCTCTTTTCAAATATATTCGAAGCTTTTCTTTCAAAGTCTAAAAAAAAAAAATTTTTCCTTTTGATTGTGAAGATTTTTTTTATTTAATTCTTTTTTTTATTGACTGCTTGTTTTTTTTTTTAAAAAGTTCAGTACCACCTACACATTAGTTTAACTATAAAACTTGAAATGCAAGTTTCTATAAAAGGTTTATCAATATCAAGAACACGTGATGTCTGAGCTCTCTGATTGGCCGAGAGAAATATCCCTTAGGAAGTAAAGTGGGTGTTATCAGAACTTCTTATTGGACGATTGGTTAGATTGCGTAATTGTCTATAAATATTCTCGGAGTATTTAAAGAGTTTGCAAGAGACGGACCGGCAGTTTCTTCATTGATTTTACTCGCTCGCGACTAGTCAACTCTGTGATTATTCTTTGTGTGTTAATGGTGCTTACTTATTACACTGGTTTACCGATTATTCAACTTTAATTAAGAGTCCTTGATTTTGATTACCCATGTAAAAGGTATGTAAATTAATTCTGTTTTCTAAGATTAGAATAGAAATTTAACCGTAAAATTAATGCGGGTTACGCAAAACTTTGAAATTTCTTTTCAATTTATTTGATTAATACATTTACTGTTTTGAATTTAGTGATTTTTATCAATTCTTGACTGATATTTACTGAATTATTAGCTAGTAATAGTTTGCAAGATAATAATTGTTTATTAACTAATATATTCTTATAGAATAATAATTTTACAATTTAATGGTAGAAATTTTGAATCGTGTTCAACCCCACTATCCTTCAAATTTGCCGTAATCTTAATATGCTACCAAATTAAACCATATTATGCCTTTTGTGCATCTATAATTTGATTAAACAAGACTAGCTTGAACAAACGCAAGGTTCATTTAACATATTATTAAAATTGTAGCAAACTAAAATAGTATTATAGCTTAAAGAACGATATTATGGTACAATGTTGAATGCATGAACATGTTTAAAATGAATATATTTTTCCAACGTTCCTTTTCATTTGTTTCATTGAAAAAGTATTATATTCATATTATAATATTACGTCTGATATAACAATACTGTATGAGTTAATCAATACTATATTATTATTAATTACAAGATTACATAATAAGTAAAATAACTCACTGTGTGAAGGAAATTGTTCTAATTCTAATGATATTTTTTTGTTGAAAGTCGGAAATTATTTCTGTTTGCGCTCTCATTATTACCACTATTGTGGTAACTCTGAAGGATTTTCAGTTTTCAGACTTAGTTACAACGACTGTTCTATATTTACAAATAATAAAGAGCAGATTGTATTTGCCACAATTTACCATGTGTCTCAACAGACGAATAATTTCGACCAGTTTGTGCAAACAATTTATCATGATCCTACTACTTATTTGACCATTTACCATGATCCTACAACTGTAAGTTTCAATCCTGTCTCGTTGTTGCAAAACAGGAAAAACTGGTTTGTTTTGTTCCCTTCGTAATCATGTTTTAAGGAGTTCTCTTATTGGAGGAGAATATATTCCTAACTATTTAAACATTTCTTATTGGCTGTGCTCTGTCATGCATTGTTTGTTAGTCGCTGCTGTTTTATTTTAATCGTGAACCAATCATTGCTTACTTACGCATTGCATGGATTTACTCCGGAGTTAAATCGTTCGATGATAGATTATAGATTGTTTGATTTGCTAAACATCCTTCCACAGTAAGACATTCAATGACAATTCGTCTTAAAACAATCAAAAGTCCTGAAATTCCAGACATAAGGTAATTGAACTTTAGTATATAGATTATAAAATATTTATAATTTTTACTTGTTTCATGTAATCATGTTTTAAGGATTTCTCCTATCGGATGAGAATAGATTGAAAGTTGAATTATTGAATTCATTGTTCAATGTTTAAAGATTTTTCTACCAAGCATTGTTTGTTAGTCGTGTTTCTTGTTATATCTTAATCGTAAATCAATTATTACTTATGCATTGCATGCATATACTCCAGAGTTAAATCGTTCAATGAAAGATTATGGATTGTTTCATTTGCTGAACATCCTTCTACAATAAGACATTCAAAGTCAATTTGTCTTAAAACAATCAAAGGTCTTCAAATTCCAGACATAAGGTAATTGAATTTTGGTATATGAATTATTAAATTTTAATAATTTGTACTTGTTTCATGTAATCATGTTTTAAGGATTTCTCATATTGGATGAGAATAGATAGAAAGTGTTTAAACATTTCTTACTGAATGTGCTCTACGAAACATTGTTAGTTAGTCGTTTTTGTTATATCTTAATCTTAAATCAATTATTACTTACTTACGCATTGCATGGATTTACTCTAGGGTTACATCGTTTAATGAAAGATTATAGACTTTTTTATTTGATAAGCATCATTCTTCAGTAAGACATTCAATTTGTCTTAAAACATTGAAAAATCCTGAAACTCAAGACATAAGGTAATTGAATTTTAGTATTAGAATTATGAAACTTATAAAGTTTGTACTTGTTTCATGAAATCATGTTTAAAGGATTTCTCTTATTGGATAAGAATATATTAAAAGTATTTTTTTTAAATTTATTGAATGTGTTCTACCTAGCATTATTTTTAGTCGTTGTTGTATTTTAATAGTAAACCAATTGTTACTTACTTATGCATTACATGGATTTACTCTAGAGTAACACCGTTCAATGCAAGATTATAGATTTTTTTTATTTGATAAGCATTATTCTACAGTAAATACCATTGCACAGTTTGATATTCATTGTCAATGCATTGTTTTAAAACAATAAAAAAAATCCTGAAATTCCAGACTTAAGACAATTGAATTTCAGTATTTGAATTACAAAATTCTTGACGTTGTAATTGTTTCATTCTGCGTAGATTATTATATCTAGTATAAACTAATGAGATTGCTTTTCGATATTTTTTCAGCGTAAATTATCATTTATCATTGCTATTTTCAACTGGCAATGTTGTGTCAAACATTTTTAGTGCTTTTTTTTTCAAATTCCTTGTAAAATTTAACCAATTTTAAAATATTTCTTGCAAATTAAATGTTAACATTCTGTGAAGTACTTAATAGAATGACAAGCAAAGACTTCTAAAAGCAAGCCAAAAAAGTAACAAATCCAATCGAACCTTACAAAACATACAATAATTTACTGAAATGGAGTGCTAGTTTTAACGAGTAACAGAGGAATTCATTAATAGAACAGCATACTTATTTTCTGACCTGTTCATAAGAAATTTCAGTGATAGATGCCGTCATATACACTTTTTTTTTTTACTTAATCATTCTGGCGCAATTTATTACTAAATTTGTATCGCTTGGTCAAAGAATTGTCAAGTTTTTCATAATATTACCTGTTGAACGTAACATTTTTCTATTAAATAATATACTTAAAAATGAGTTTCAGAAGTTAATCTTTTCTATGATTTTATGTTTAGGTTATCAAGTTCTCAAAATTTACAAATTTATGATTGTTATTTTTAGTTTCTTTTTTTTAATTATTTTTATCGAAGTAAAACATTTCCGTAACAGCCCGGTTGCCGTGCAAGGGGTTAAGACTCCACAATTAGCAGACCTGCCGAATTATACGGTTGTAACGTGGTCGATATTGCGCACCTGCAGCCACTAATTTCCAGGCAAGCTTTTATACCCATTGATATGAAGCTGTGTTAACTTCAACCCGGCATTGTTAATGAAGCCCTGGTCCTTTCCAATGACAGCTCAGTGCTTTAATCACTGTACCATGTTTTAGCAAGAAATCGTAAAATGTGGTAACTAGGTGGTGCTACCCTGTGCGTGATTCACTGTGCCGTGTTTTGGCAAGGAATCGTAAAATGTGGATTAGTTTATCTAGTGGCGCCATCTATCGTAAGACATAGGAAGTAGTAGACTTTTTGCGTTAAGCAGCTGTGCTGTGTGGTACTACCCTATGCGAGACTGAGAGTTCCTTATTCAAATAGTACAAGGTCACCATCGCGGTTTCATTTCCAATATAGGTGAGCGTTAAGAGTATTTTAAGGTAAGGATTTTAAAATGAAATATATTTTACCAATAAGTATAAATATTATTAATGAGCTGTGCTTCGGCAGTTTTCGGTTACCTTTTTAAGTAGTTGTTTCTAGAAAAAATTAATTAGATTTTCTTAGTTTTTCCTGTTATTTTCTTTACTCAATAAAGCCTATTAAAAGAAAATAGACTAATTTTTGACATTTTAGCAAGAGCTATTAATTGACCTGATTATATGCATTTTTTAAAGTCAATTGGTTCAGAAAGACTTGAGTGCCAGTTTGAACAAGGTTTTTATGGCAAAAACATAAACGCTTTATTAACTTCATCGCGTGATCGCCAGACAGTAGGGGATTGTAGACGTGAGGTTGACTTTTAAAAGGAATAAAATTTCAAATATCCTTCTTCGCGTTGTTGATGCGAGGATTTTGGTACGCAAATATTAGATAACGGACTTGGTGAAAAAACCTACAGTGTTAGAACTTTCATTCTAAAATTACGGTAAAATAGCCGTCAGCTGTCTGTCCATCGAATGAACGGTAAAGTTTAAAGTTAAGAGCATATCTTTACCTTTTCGGGTTTGAAACCATTTACAACTAGTATGGTAAAAAACTGTGAATAGAAAACTATATGGTTTTGTAACCATTTAAAACTAGTATGATTTTAAAACCATAAAAATTTAATTTAACTGTAATTTGGTCTTAGTTTATACTAAATTTTTCGCTAGATTATGAGCATTAGGGTCAGGTTGTGGTTCAGTTGTGCTTTGTCCAGTGAACCGTGGAGTGTGGTATAATGAGTTTATGTGGTGGTGCCATCTATCGAAAGAGACCGGAAATACTAGATATTTGTGTTAAGCAACTCTGTGGTTCTGCTATTTATGTGCGAATGGAAGTTTCGTATTCCAATAGTGCAGGGTCACCAATTGCGGAGTGATGGACACTGGAAATATTGAATACTGGATGAAACATCGCGATGCTAACGTTGGGATTCGAACCCATGTTTAGCCGGTCATAAGATTGAGAGATTAGCTCTCTCAGCAAAAGTATGTACCCAGCTATAAGGAACTAGGTGGCTTCATTTAATTTGTATAAGAATTTGGCAAATCCGATGATGGATATGTGATATATGAATTCGTAATCTTTATCACATGGCGTGGCTTCAAGCTTTCGAAGTACATCTCTCGATTCTTATTGACTGTGGGTATAATTGGCGCAGATAAAAATCTGGTTATAACCTCATCTGGTGAAAAACAGTCAATAAATGATTTTTCTCACGGTTAACAGTTTGAATACTATTTTTATGACTGTTTTGGTTAAATATGGGGGGGGGGGAACGAATAGATTATTGATTTTTCCGAGAAATTTCTAACACTGTATCTAAAGAGCAATGGTCGTTCCTAGTTAGCTGCATCTAGAAAGTTAGTTTCGCTTAAAAATTGGGAAATATATTATTTCGTGAAATATATTTTCAGATCAT